GCCTTCGCCACCAATGCTCGCACGAAGAAGCCTCGTCCGAGCCACCGAGCTGCTTCCGGACCGAACTTTGCAGGTGCGACGTGGACTCCTCCTAGCCGCAGACTTCCGAACCTCGGCCCTATATAAAGAGGACCTGCGAACTTTGCCGACTAACTTTGAAAATTTGACACTTTTAGCCCCTCTTTCCATATTTTCTTCATATTAACTTTCCCCGAAGCCCCGAAATCAATTTTAGCACCCGAAACACGTCCTGAGACCCCCGAGAAGCCCGAAAAATTTTATCTTTTCGGTTTTGAAGCCCTACCTTCGCAGAGCCCGGTTTTCAAACAAACTCCCGGTTTTCAACATAGAAAGGCATATTTAAAGCCGAAGTGCTGTCCAAATTACTATTTTAACCCCCGGTTAACTTAAGATGAGTTCAATATATAGGAACAATTGTATATTATGTGTTATATGTGCTATGTGCTTTTCAGTATTATCATTCTGAGTTATTTTCTCGTGGTATTCACTATGTTTATAGCAATTGTAATACCTTTGACCATGTGATCAGTGAAAGGACTTAGATTCACATTGGTACTGGTACGTAGCCTCTGGCCATGTAGATCATGTCTCCGTAAGAGAGTGACTTCTATTCTATGGCATTGGCAAATGGTTAGCCAGGACTATAAGCCTGAAATCTAACAAGATGTTAATCAAAAATTGCATGTCTTCTATGCCAATTGGGCCAAAGCTTTATTGATGTATATCAAGAATTGAAAAGAATTTCTTTGAATAATTTCTTTGATTGATATGAATGCTTGTCACATGATCTGACATACTTCTTGTTGTTCCTCTTTGCTTTTGCCACATTGAAGTATATATATATATATATATATATATATATATATATATATATATATATATATATATATATATATATATATATATATATATATATGGCATAACATTATATTGTATCTATTTTTGAACTCACTAAGCGTCACCGCTTACCCTATCAATGTTTAACTACTGCAGGTGATAAATAATCAGTATGTTTATATACTATTGAAAGATGTAGAATAGTTTGTAATAGTACTTTTGTACTACTTTTTATGTGTGTATAAATTACAATATCTTGGGTAGTTATGTAATATATATAACACTTTGTAATAGAAGGTTTGTATCCAATAGTTTGTAAATCCTTTATATTAATGTAAAATATTGCTTTTTATGAATATGCAAATAGCATGTTTTGGAGTAATGATAGTGTGAAATATGAAAGTTTTGGTCTTTCAAAAATATGAAAGTTGGGGCCTTTCAATTACTGCTTTCTCCTGTTTGAAATTCGTCATTATATAGTGTATCATTATCAGGAAAATCAAAATCTTCAATTCCATTGTCATCATCACTAGCCAAATAATGTTCCTCATAAATATGATTATTGACATCTGATTCTTGATCGCCCATTGCTAAGAAATTCCGAGAGTGTTTGTATATTCTTTGTAAGTTGAAAAATTAAAATATTTAAAAATGTCTTACAAACTAGATAGGGATGAAAACGGATTCTATGCAAATTAAAAGCCTTGATATTAGGGATCATTGATAAAAATAAATGATTCCGATTTGATTTCTTTTAAAAACATGATAAAAGAAAAAATATTCATATGGTACTATATTCACATTCCAAATATAAAAAATTCCAACAGTACATTATATTAACTACTTAACAATATTATTATGTATTTTTTTTTAAAAAGTTGCAGAATATTTTATTGACGACATAATTCTATTAGAATGTTATATAAATATTGATTCCAAAACTCTGCATGTTATCGGAATGAAATAATTCTATCAGAATACTCTAGCAAATATGACTTATAAAACGTATCAATTTTTGTTAACTAGAATCAATGCATGCATTGAAAATCATTATGTAAGAGTAATAAATATATATGACTAACAAAAATGTTTACAATTCAAAGTTTTTGAAAATTATGTGTGTTGATTTTATGAAACATCAAACAAATAAAATGAAGTATAATGAACATTGTTTTTTGACATAATGTTTGAATGAGAACTGTAATGTTCTGCTCTGGTATTCTGTTGGAATGATAAACTGTATGATCATATGAAACATAAATATAGCAGAAAACACGAACATCTTATTAGTTTTAACCATAATAATTAAAGAAAGACACATAGAATTCATCAAACGACAACTTTATTACACTGAACGGAAACTTGATAATACCATATAATTCATCAAAAACATACTTTTATTTTACTGAAATCAAACTAAATAATATCTAACAATGACCAATTTGATGAAGTTCTTGTAGTTCTATGATTTCTTCAATCCAAAAGGATAATTCCTGCTATCATGACCAACTCCAAAGCATGTTTTACATCTTCTTATTTTCTTCACAACTTCATTCACCGGATTCTTGGGATCATTGACATTACCCAAATCCTTCCCGGGATTTTGATCATCGTTTTCTTGGAAGATTATCATATTTAATACATATGTATATGTAAAAACAGTAAAAATGTGTGTGGGGGACGTTTGCAACAATATCAGGATTATCGTAGACAGATGCTGGTAAATATGTAGCAATACATGGTTCTGATTTCTAGTATGAACATCCATCGAATGTGTAACACAAATTGATCAGTAGGTTATGGAATCGACAATTGTGATCTGTGTTTATGGATCGGACGTTAGAATCGATTGTATAGAGAAAATTAAATTAAAGATAACTAAATCAATCATAAATCATTGCCTAATATAAAGGGATAAGAATCAGAATAAATAAGGAATTAAAATGAAAGATTACATAATTACCCTAATGGATTAAATAAATTAATTAATAATTTGCTAAATTGTGATTGGTGCATTCATGCACACAATACTTGTTGAAAATATTTGAACCTAACTTTCTCTCTCTCTCTCTCTCTCTCTATATATATATATATATATATATATATATATATATATATATATTCTTTGATTTGGTTAATTGTATACTTTTCCCTCCTCATATCTACGTAACCTAACCAAACTCCTACCAAATTTGTTTATATTTTGTTCATGCTTTTCTTTTTCCAACAAGTCTCTTAATTGTCAGTTGCATAGTAATATGTTAGATTATTTTATTTGTTATCATTTTGCTGCTTATTTGGTCAAATTATTGGTACAAAATTGTTAATATTACAATCACCGTTAACCTTAGGTTGGCCAATTTGATTAATAAACAAATCAACTTTATCACAAAATAATAATTTGAATTTTACACGGGACTTCTTCTCAAATGTCATTGTGTTACTATATATGTTGAAACTTATTTATAAGTTGCAATCTCAATTAGCACTCTTGAATTCATTTTGTAGGTCCGTTTAACTCTTAAATGTTCAGTTTGTAGGACGGTTCATAAGCAGGTCAGGAATCTTTATTTGTTTATAAATATGAACCTCATAGCATACATACTCCATAAAATCATGTAACCTTTCAATGGATTTTTTATATTTTATTTTGTGGTAGCGTAAGTTTCAACGAAAAGTATGGTCCTTTTTCTATATCAGCTCCCTTCCATCTTCACCCCGAATCTGAGGTTAGTCTGGTTAGTTTTCTTTTTGTTTTTTACATAGTTTCAATGTAAATAAGTGATTGTTAAACAACAACAATATTTGCAAATTATAAAACAAAACAAGAGAATGGAATGAAGGTGAAATGGATATTTTTAGATTTTAGTGCAAATGAATCTAAAATTTTCTATCTGTTTGTTAAATTAAATCATCATCTGAGATTTGTCTATTATTTACTTGGGTTTTAGTTTTGATGTTTATTTATTTGTTTTTTTTTAATGGTTTTTTCTTGTTTTGTTTTAATGAGTATAACAATTTTTTATACACAATTTCTAAATTTGTAATCATTTTTTGGAAAATATATAATATAAATTTCTTTTAAAATATTTCTAATTTTTTTTATTATACCATAATATTTTAATTACGTTCATACAAAACGTAATACAAATTATAAATAATTCATAAAGAAGATCATTGATAACGTATTATTAAATTCATCTCTGCAATGTGATTATATCTTCTGCAATAAAATCACTGTTATATACGAATCGTCATCACTGCGACGTGTACTTGGATCTTCTTGGTAAACTTCACTACTACTATCATCTCGTGTGTGCTTGTAGGATTATTTTGATGCCTATTGAATACTTCATTAAACCTACCAACTTTTCTAATAGAGTTATGGATCGCAATTGACGTTATCACAATTCTCACTTGGTTATTTTACTTGTAATTAACATGTATGTCTCCTAATAGCATCCACCTAGCTTTCCACACTCCAAAAGTTCGTTCATTGATATTTCTCAATGATGAGTGAAGATAGTTAAATTTATCTTTTAGTCCACGAGGTTCACGTTTAACAATTGTGTGTCCACGTCGAAAATTTGGTATATGATAACAAATATTAACGCCTTTGTATGGAGCTGTGTGTCCATCCTACGTAAAACAAATATAAAGATGTCAAACACCAACACATAATAGAAAAATGTCTTTTACATAACGACAACAATAATGCATATTATAAAATGTCAAAGACATAATGTCAAATGTTGAATACATAATGTCAAAGGACAACATGTAATGTGAAAAGATACCACATAATGTCAAAGCATAACACATAAACGATAAGACATGATTTCGAATGAAAAATCGTTATTTCATAATAAACTTAAGGAAGTTAATATTGGCTTCATAAATCATTGGAAACATAAAAGCACCATGATTTTGTTTTTTGGTGAAAACAACCAATGCTTGTGAAAATTCTTTGGTCCTTTCACGAAAATCGGGATACTTGATGACAATGGCCATGTAATCTATTATTATTATTAGGGATGGATTATTATGTGGAAAAGTTTGTGTGTTTTTTCCGATATGGCATCCAATAAAATATTTACTATTTCCTCATAAACCAAACTTTTACTTTGGAAAATGACTTTTTCTTCTTCCTTTTTGTTGAACTACTTTCATGGAAACTAGGAAAAAGAGGCGCATCATCATCTAAATTGACTTCATCACTATTTCCTTTGCCCTCCATATTTTCTTCGTTCGGATTGCTATTTTTTTTTTCTTCGTTCGGATTGCTATTTTTTTTTGAAATTGTAACGGAATCATAGTTTGATCTTCAATGGCAATGGAATCTTGAAACAAAAGAGTATATTTCTCATTAAATATCCTAAATTTGGCATATTCTTTATTCTCCTGCAAGACAAAAAGATAATGTAAATAAAAAATAATTATAAGTCATAACTTTAAATAATAAGAAAGAATTGTAAGTCATACCTTTATTTTCTCCTCCCACAACCGAGGTGATGCCTCTATTAGGCTTCTCGTCCCATTGAGTCCGGTTTCAAGCCTCATTAAGCGGTCATAAAGCTTCCACTATTTTTTCATGTTCCCCCATTTGTTTGTTAGTTGTTTTTTTTTTCAAGACCAAAACTTGTTTTATCTTCATGTGTTTTTGTAAATTCTCCTTCCTAACCTTTTCAAAGTGAGTACCGGGTCTATGGCATTTTCTTAGTTCAATGAAGCACAAATCGACAAAACACCATGAAGGTACGATTATCCCATAAGAATTTTGGTTTTTTCATTTTTAAAGATGTTTCATAATCAACAACATTAGTGTGGTTTTGGTCCATTTTCTGTGAATTACATAGAATCAACATTTAAACAGCATAAATATCAATATAACATCAAACCAAAGTAACACTAATTCAAGAGATAAACCAGAAAAAAATGTAACTGTTATATGCAATTTTACTAATTTCATCAATTTCATTAACCTTTCTAACTGATTTCACCAATTTCACAAATTTCTAATCAAACTTTCATGAATTCTACTTCATCCAAATAAAAAAAATGGAAACAAAAATTCATTAAGGACCTGTTAACAAAACCTACAACACAACTACATATCGATTTAGGGTAATCAGCACACAACACAGGTACAATCAATTTTATCGATTTGAGATGCATAAGTACCGATAAGGTGCACTACAAAAGGAAATCAGGAGAACCAAAACATGCATTTGGAGGAAAAGATGAACAGATCGAAAATCTCGAAACAAATAAAGCAAATCGGAGCTGAAGCTAGCTTACCTGAACGGAGAAGGAGGTAGGTGACGCCGGCAACGATGGTTGGAAGGAGGAGGGTCGTCGGTGGGAGGAAATATGGTGCACCCGATCGTGAATGAGAAGAAAAAACCGAGAAAAGATATGTAAAAATTGATTAGGGTTGTTGTAGGGCATTATTGTAATTTAACTTTTTTCAGCTTAAAAAGTCTCAAAAATGTATGAATTATCGTCTTTTGTGCAAGGAGCATTTATTTATTTATTTATTTTTATTTATTTTTTTTAATTTAAAAGTTGTTTTGAAAAGATCTTTTCATTTTGCCAAACAGTTTTTTTTTTTTTTTTTGAAAAATGAAAAGATAAAAAATTGGTTGAAAATGAATGTCAAACACCCTCTATATATTAACTTTACAATGTTGGTTGTTTTTAGCGTAAACTCAAAAAAATTGAAAAAATAATGGAACAAGTAGCATAACTTATTTCTATAAAGTTTGTTGTTATTATAAATTAACTTTACAAAGTTGGTTGTTATTTATCAAATATCTACCCATAAATAAAATTGTTGGGATATTCAAACCAATTACATATTAATTTGAACTAATCTATATAAAGTTACAAACAAAACATTGAACTTTGTAAATTAATAATTTTTTTTGCAAATGAATGATTATATTTTTTTAATTAGTAATGTTGTTTTTCTTTGTCAACCAAATATCCATAGAGTATTAGGTAATGTGCGTGTGTGTGTGTATATATATATATATATATATATATATATATATATATATATATATATATATATATATATATATATATATATATATACACACACACTTAATTTCCGACAACTAAAAGAAAAAGGAAAAAAATGGCACAATCACAACAAAAAAGAGGAGACCTTTATTTCCGACCATTAAAAGGAAAAGAAAAAAAATGGCACAATCACAACAAAAGAGAGGAGGCAGGGATAGGGGTGTTCGTGGGATGGATCGGTTCGATCCGATCCAATCAAATGAACCCAAATTGATTTCGATTTTCAAAATATGGATCCGAATAATCCAAATTAAATTCAAATTTGGTACAATTCAACAAATTACAATTCGATTGAATTGGTTTTTACAATTCGGTTTTCAAGTGACAAAACATTTTAAAAATTATATAACTTGAATATTAGTCAGTTTTATAAAACAAACTAAAAAAAGTTGAAACAAACTAAAAAAGTTTAGTTGTGAATTAAAATTTATAAATAACTACTAAGAAAAAATATATTATTGTTTAATATTTCGCAGACAAAAAACATTTTGATAAGAAATACAAAATCTATTAAAAATATAATTTAGTAAATTTATAATAGACTAAAGATATAATATAAATAACTAAATAATTAATTATTGTTTGCTTTTTTAGACTTTTTCATTTTTATTTTCATAAATCAAAACCAATCTAAAATCCAATCTAAATTGTTCAATTGGATATTTCGGTTTTATTCAAATAGTGAACAGTTGTAACGGAGGACGTGTCTCCTTACTAGGCTCCCGCACCCGGCTTCCTACATGCTCGGTATTGTGTTCTGAGCGGGTACGCTTACCCCTCATTTTTCATTTTTTCCAGTGTATACCCTCTAGTCTTATAACCAAAACCATTGGTCAGGGTAGGGTGTTATGACTTATGGGGGTAAACGAAAAAGAATGGAGTGCAATAAATGTGTTAGACTTGAGAGTCGGAGACAAGGGAACATCCACGTGGCGGGTTCGGAGCACACATTGTTTTTGTAGTCTAAAGTGTATACAAACGAAGCAAATTTATTGTACCGTTTCCCTTATTTTGTTAGTATTTTAGGAAATACACTGTTTCCAGGTTCAAAATAAAGATATTAGTATCCGTGTGACCTACATTTAGTTTTCAGGTACAATGTTTGGTCAAGATTTATGGATGTCTTTTATTGTTTTCAAAATGATATACTAAATAAATAATTAATAGCGTTAGTTATTTTGGAAACCCCGTAATTATACTGCATCCATAATAGGAAAGATTGTTGGTATATAGTTTTAATGAAAAAACATTAAAAAAAAAAAAAACTCAATTTATCTTCACTAAAGAAGAGAAAAAGGTAATTTGTTTTTTAGGCATTGTTTGTATAATGTCTATTTCAATTGGTTGAAAATATATAACAGTCATCGAATTATTGAAAAAATGTTAATACAAGAGTTTATGAATTAACAAGCTTTTTTCTTTTTTTAATTTTGATTTAAAAAAGCTATATATATATATATTATATATATATATATATATATATATATATATATATATATATATATATATATATATATATATATATATATATTAGATGTGTGCTCGAATAAAGTGGTGGCCATAAATAGCTTTTGTGGGGAATAGTTTACCACTTTTAATTAAAATATTTATGTTTAGAACATATATTTATATTGTATGTTTATACATTTGAAGTAAATTAATTATTATCGGTATCTAGTTTAAGAAATGTAAATTAACTTATGTTGATGGATCAGTCCAGCCTGAATATCAGACATAGGAGGTGGTTGGATATAGTGAAAGACTATGACTGTGAGATTTTGTATCATCCAGGCAAAGCTAATGTGGTTGGTGATGCCCTAAGTCATAGAGCAGTGAGTGCTCCGATCCGAGACGTGTGTATGAGGATGACAGTGATGACTCCCATCTAAGATACCATCCGAGTGGCCCAAGCAGTGGCCATTAGACCAGAGAACTATAAGAGAGAGCGGGTGAACGGGTAGATTTCTGAGTTTGAGACTGATAGTCAGGGGCTTATGACCTTCTGTGGGCGGATACGGGTGCCATGTACGGGTGGAGCCCGGTGTACCTTGATGGAGGAGGCCCATAGGTCGAGATTCTCGATCCATCCTAGGGCCTCCAAGATGTATTTGGACTTGAAAAACGATTATTGGTGGCCCTGTATGAAGAGAGACGTGTCATGGGTAGTCGAGAGATATTTGACCTGTCGTCAAGTCAAGGCAGAGCACCAACGTCCCTATGGCCAGTTGCAGCCTTCAGAGATTCCCCAGTAGAAATGGGAACATATCTCCATGGATTTTATTACCATGTTACCGAGGACTACGAGGGGTGTTGATGCGATATGAGTGATTATAGATCGGTTGATGAAGAATGCTCACTTCCTGCCTATAAGTGAGAGCACTTTTGTAGAGAAATTGGCTGATGTCTACGTTTGAGAGGTGGTGGCATGACATGGGGTGCCAACATCAATAGTGTTAGATCATGATGTGCGTTTTAGTTCCAGGTTCTGGAAGAAATTTCATGACGAGTTGGGTACCCGGCTACATTTCTGCACCGCATACCACTCGTAGATAGATAGGCAGAGTGAGCAGATGATTCAAACGCTCGAGGACATGCTATGCGCATGTGTTATGGACTTCGGTGGATGTTGGGACACGTACCTGCCTTTGGCTGAGTTTTCATACAACAACAACCATCACTCGGGTATTGGGATGCCTCCCTTTGAGATTTTATATGGGAGGAGATGCCAGACTCCCATCTATTAGGGAGAGGTCGGGCAGAGAGTGATGGGGAGCACTGAGATAATGCTCAAGACAACATAGCACATCCAGTAGGTTAGACAAATTGTTGATGGCCTAGAGTCGTCAGAAGAGTTACGCAGCCGGAGACGTTCTGAGCTAGAGTTCCAGGTCGACGATTTTGTCCTCCTGAAGGTATCCCCATGGAAAAGGGTGATCCGATTCTGGAAGCGGGGCAAGTTGGGCCCTAGATACATTGGTCCTTTTAGAGTGATTGCTCGAGTAGGTAAGGTAGCTTATCGGTTAGAGCTGCATGCAGGGTTGACCCAGATTCATTTAACACTCCATGTATCCCAGCTGAGGAAGTGTGTAGCCAATGAGACGGTAGTGCTCCATTTAGAGGACATTCAGTTTGATGATAGCCTAAAATACATTGAGAAGCCGGTAGCGATTTTGGATAAGAATGTGAAGGTCTGGAGGAATAAGGAGGTGCCCTTCATTAAGGTTTAGTGGCTATATCGGAGGGGATTCGAGTGGACTTGGTAGCAGGAGTCCGAGATGTGTGAGCACTACCTAGAGCTGTTTCCAGAGAATGAATTCGAGGGCAAAGTCTGATTCTAGTGGGGGAGAATTGTAACATCCCGACTCTCAGGTATAAATTTGAATTATTTTATATTCATTTTTGACTGGGCAACTCGACGAGTTGGAGGCCCCAACTTGTAAAGTAGAGATCGAAATGGTTGCATGGATTTTAGAATCAACTCGATGAGTTGGAGGATCCCAACTCAAAGTGGTGGAGTTGAGTGTGAAAACCCTAATTTTCAGGGTATGCACCCTATTTAAAGGACCTTAAGTCCTTTATCTCGCCTCCCTCATCACCTTATCACCATGAGACAAACCCTCTTCGAGCTATCCTCCATTATGAGAGACTGTGAGGCTAAGAGTGTGTGTTTTGGTGCATTTGTAACATCCGGATTTCCAGGTATTATGTTTGATCATTTATTTTTTTGAGTAAAAGAGAGGGACTCGACGAGTTGAGGCATAGACTCGTCGAGTAGGACCGCGATTGCTGACTGGATTAATGAACGGACTCGACGAGTTGGAAAGGGTGGACTCGGCGAGTCCGCACTATAGATTTATACACTAAATCCTCGGGCCTGTGCACTATTTAAGGGTCCTTATAGCCCTCATTTGCGGCTACCAGTCCAGAGAGAGAGACCGTAGAGAGATTGAGTGAGTTGGGAGAGGGATTGAGCTATTTTGATAATTTTTGGTGTAGTTTAGCAAAAGAGAAAGTGTTTCCAGCAAGGGGAGGTCAAGAGTGTTGCTATTCCGTGGATTTTCAGCTTGGATATTCACTTTTGAGGTAGCAATTCGGTTTATTCTTCTGTTTTGCATAAGAACCTTGAATCTAGGGTTTTATATACTTTTTTATTGGCTTGTTTGAGCGAGTATAGTGTCCCATTGAGTGTTAGACTCTGGATAGGGACCTTTTGAGGTCCAGAGAGCCTTAGCCAAACTGCTTTATGTGGTTCCATGAAGGAAATGAACTTAGTGATGGGTTTTATACAAACAATCCTAAGTGTGCATGCAACCCTAGTTTGGATCTATGTTTTCACTATTATATACACAACGTTATGAACACAA